GGGGGGGGTGGGGTGCAGGGGGGGGTTCCTGTTGGCATCTGCCCGGCTCTCCTTGTCTGAGCTGGGAGAGGTGGGACAGGGGCTGGGAGCAGCGATAGGAATGGTGGCCCTGAAGTCCCTTCCTCTGGGCTGGGAGCAGTGGGAGGGATGGTGGCCAGGAAGCTACTTCCTCTGGACCAAGAGCAGTGGGCTGGGGACTCAGATGTCCCTACCTCTGGGCCAGGAGTGGCGGAACAGATGGTGGCCCAAAAGCCCTTTCCTCTGGGCTGGGAGTGGCAGGACGGATCTGCTATACTTTTTTTAATGCATTAAAAACTACCTCTGGGTCAGGGATTTAGCTCAGTGGTTTTGCTGCCTACTGTGCAAAGGCAAGGACCTGAGTTTGATCCCCAGTACCAACCAACCAACAAGCAAACAAACTACTACCTCAAGGCCTGGGGAATTAGCTCAATGACACTGTGCCTGCCTCACAAGTACAAGTTCCTGAGTTCAATCTCTGGTACCAGAAAACAACAACAACAACAACAACAACAACGAAACTGCTATCTCAAAACCCCTTTAATCAGGTACAGTCAGTAACCACTGAAGCAAATAACAGTACATAAAACTCATATCCATCTTCTTGCTGAGTGAAGACTCCAGTGTCAGGATTCAATGCCCCATCTTTTTGTGGGGGAAGAAAGAAGATAAGTAGGCAAATTTGAGCACTTTGGTCTATTTGAAAGTTGTGTCTTCTGGGTAGTGGCAGATGTTATGTCTTTTCTTTTTAATATTAAGAAATCATCATTATTTGGAGAAAAATACAGGGCATGAGTAACATATGTATTTTTCAATATAATAATGTGTGGTGACAGATATTCCTTCAAATGAAGTAATTAGTCTGAAGGGTATAAAAGAACATCATATCTGAGCAGACTATGCATGCTTAACTGTTTCAAGAAGCATAATGTTTTAATGATATATTCTGATGCTTAATTAGGCCTTTTTGTAGCTTTGATCTTGTTTAATTTTTTTTTGTTTTTCATCTCCAGATCTTCTGCAGCATTTATCAATTTTTCCATACTTTAATGAAATCTTTGTTCATTTGAAAATGGTTTCTTGCAGTTTCTCGTCCAGTAGGTATACAATCATTTTAGACCATGAAGACCCCTATGCAAACTTGAAAGAGGTTAAAGTCTTTGTAGCTGATCTTAAGATAACATTGTTCTTGGCCTTATGATAAACTGTATATTTGTATCAGCTTTGAGATATAGTAATTGCTTTAATTATTTTTAGGCTTTGACTTGATTTAATCTCATGGCTTGATGAAATGTTAGAGTACAAAAGAAATAAATTTCCCTTCCTAAAAATGTTTTATGGGAGTTTTCTTTCCCTGTGGTACTTATTGTCAACCTGATCTTATGTCATGTATAATTTGATTGACGCTCAGCCTGGATACTTTTTTGTTTCTTTCTGCCAGCGTGGGGTAACCTTGGAAATGTTCTGAAGAGTCAGAGCAAAATTTCTGAAGCTGAAAGCGCCTATAGAAATGCTTTGTACCACCGCAGCAACATGGCTGACATGCTTTATAATTTGTGAGTATGCCTTGCTCTCTCTTGTTTGGTTCACTTTTGAAACACGCGGTGAAAGGGAGTATTGATTTAACTGCTGGAAACGGAGATGATGATAGCTGTTTTTCTGAAATAGTCTTTTCATTAATCATGCCTCTGAGACTAGTAGGTGGATGATGTTTGTAACTTCTTTGTTTTGGGCCACATCATCTGTATTCATGTATATTGATGTATTATGGCTGGATGTTTTTGAAGTAGTGTACCATATGATCATATAAAAGCCGGTTTAAATGTTTTTAGGTTTTTTACAAAGTGTGTTTCAATGGAGAGCTGGGTATTAAGGGTCATAAAATAAATTTTTATGTATGTGCTTATGCAATTGATGCTCTAGTTATTAATACTACTAAATTTTGTTCTCATTAAAAATTGCCTATGTCAAAGTATATATAGAATATGTGCTCAAATGGTAGAGTGAATGAATGATATCATGGTGCTAGTAGTTGTGCTTCTTTTTTCTCCTCTTCATCCTTTCTATGCTTTCCTTTTCAAAGGCACTGATGGTTATCAGCAAAGCTTGAATACTAGAGTAATTGACAATGTGCATGTGTATTGAGTTAGAAAAATTCCTAGGGGCAAAATTGGTTTTGTTCTTTGAATGAAAAAATCCTAGGCTGTATTATAGGGTTCCAATTATTAAGTGCAAACTAAACTCAAATCTTTTCTTTTGTATTCGGGAGGATGTTGTTTGTATGTAATAAAAGTCTAGCTTAAACTTGCTTAAACACAAGAGAATTTATTAACTCTCCTACCTAAGAATTCCTGGGGTTCATTAGATTTAGGTATTTACATATGTTTTGGGAATTTGTGTCCGTTTTGTGTTTCTGGTTTCTTTGGGTTTGCTCTATTCTTTGTAGGGCTCAGCCTATAGTAATAGGAAAGATGACGCCTACTTTTATGCATGGAACTTCCAGACTTTTCTCAATTTTGGATGAAAAAAAGAACATTTTCATCTTGATATCTGTATCTATCCTGGAAAGAGTTCTCTTCCTAAACCTTCTGGTTCCATGTGTGTTTTCTTGGAAGAAACATTGGACAGTGTGCAAAGGACCATGAGACATTTCTACTGTTAGTTCCTTCAGATTTGGAATAGAACAGGGAGGGTCCAGTCTCCTATAGGAAGGTGACCAGTTCACAGGCAAAATATGGTGTCTGTTGCTTGTGTTTAGTGAATGCTGCATAATATGGACAGAATAAAAAACATAAACTTCAATTTTTAATGTATATATATGCTCTGGCTACTTAAATCTTTAGTACTGGAAAAGTTTAAAATACAGATTTTTTAATAAACAGCTTAAGTAAAAATAAACAGGAGAAAATTTAGTTGTTTAAGGGAAAGGAGACAGGATGAGCTCAGTTTAGCTTCCTGTTCACAATGGCACTACCTCAACTTTAACCTCCTAGACTTTAGCAGTGGGATGTCATAGTCAAACCTCAGTCTAGTGGCTGATCTGTGAATTATGTTAGCAGATGTGTTTTTGTGTTAACTTGCCCACAGTATTTAATTTTTTCTTTGTTACCAGGAATTCCTTCACAAGGACCACACCCTTTCCACTTTTCAGTGTCCTTTCAACCCTCTTAGGCTGTGTTTCATGCTTCACTATATATATACATACATATATATATATATATATATGTATATATATTACCATCCTCTTTCTTAAATTAATTTGAATTTGCATACTTTACTAGAATGAAAATATCCGGATTCTTCCATATAGGCTTACATCCTCTTCTAAATAATACTAGATTATGATAATTGACTAATAGTGTTTTTATTTCATGAAAAAGAACCACAAAAATTTAATATATTACACACATTTTAGATACCTTTTAAGTACATATAAATATATATTATAAATATATATTTATATACATTCATATTTTTGCATATGGGCCTTGCAATATGGAATAGCAGTTTTCTTCTGGCGTTCATTCTCCTACATTTTAGGAGGAGAAAGTAAGTTGAGAAATCTACAGGTCTTTGTTGAATTTTGTTTTCCTGTCTCTTATTCACAGTGGTTTGAAAGCAACCTGTCTTTTGGTAGCGTATGTTGTAAAGGGGTTCAAAGGGAAGAAAGCTGTTATCCAGACTTATTCTTTTACTCAGAGCATAAATTTATTAGATAGTCCCTCTTCACATGTAGTTTAAAATCTTCATCTTATATCTTTATGTATAAATAAACTGTGGAAAAAATTGAATAGAGTTCCCAAACCTCTACTGAGAAATCCTCAGTGTAGTGGTTATTACCCAGATCAGGGCTATTTTTTTTTTCCTATTGTGGGAAATAGAGTATGTCATAGAGGCCATATATAGCTCCAGTATATTTTGAATCATACGATAGGATTTCTAAACACATAACTGTCTTAGATGGAGAGGCTTAAACTCCACAAAAAATATGGACAGTGATTTTGAAGTATTGGATTATGTAACCCATTTGGTTGACAGAATTCTGATAGTAATTATATTTCACAATAGGTGTTTTCTTTGATGTCTTAAAATATTATTAAAATAGACCAAGATAACTTTTTATAACCTGTAATATCATTCATAAGTTTTGTATCATATGTTCCTAGGAGGAAAATTTTTATGTCTACTTATTTACATAGGCAGGAAAAAAAAAAGACAAGTATTCTTATGAACCACTTACAAGCGGTTAAACCAACTAAGTTTACTGTTTTTAGTATTTATGTTACCTAGTTAGTTTTCTCCAGTATACTTAGATTACTCCTTGTTCTGCTTCAGCTTCTAAAAAGAAAGGAATTTGGTTTGCTCTTTCTAGTAAATTTAACCTGATAACAGACCTTTGTGGCAATAGGAGGCATTAATCATACATCCTATCATTGGTTATATCTCTTACCAATTTTATGATGGATGCCTGAAACTAATATATTTATTTTTATTAATTAGCATAAACACCTATGTTAAATGAATTTTAGAAGGTTTTGAGAATCTTGTTTCTTTTAGGTCCTTCACTTTGAATCAATAAGTAACCTGGAATATTTAAAAAACATTTGAATTTCCATAAGCCTATTTGCTTTGTAAATTATTAGGAAAGTTTCATATTATTAGAATTTTCTATTAGGAAAATAGTCTGTAGTTATATATCATTATTTAACTTTAAAATAATAATTACTAATGTGAGGTACCCCTCCACTAATAAGGCACAGTATAATTCTAGGTTAAAAAAATCTTAATATATATAATATGACCAACACTTTTAAATTGCACAGCTAAATGTTGTTTTAGTGACTTGGAAGAAAAACTGGATGATTTGGAAAAGTACTACGTAAGCAATAGTATGAGGGATGTGGAGTTATATCTGAAGTTTAGTGAACATTACAAGATTATGAAAATATGAAGACCGTATTTTTCTGGAATCGTGTCAAGCCATATCTCATAGATGCACACAGAGAGTTATATTCCCTCCTTATATACTGTTGGAATCATTTCAGTTTTTTTCTTTCTCTAGTGACAGTTGCTTGAATTACTTCTATATGCCCAACATTCTTTTTATTCTTCATACATTTTATCACAAATGGCCTTCAAATGAAGTCTACAAAATGAGGAAGATGAAGTTCAGAGCTAATTTACCCACGGTTTTAAAAGTAGTACTGTTCACCCATAAAGAACGAGAAACTAGAGACATTTATAGCTAAGAGGATGCACATTGAGGCCATACTCTTAAGTGAAATAAATTAGGACACACATGTGTAAATACCAAATAATTTCTCTGGTGTGAAAACCTAAAAGTGTAAATAAGGATCAAAATGTATAATTGATGTTGTGAAATAGGAAGAAAAGGTCTAAAAGAGCAGGGGAAGTGGGAGGGGTAGAGGAAAGGAAAGAAGGGAAAAGAAAAAATATGAGAAAAGGAATAAATGGAAACAAAGTCTGTAAATAGGGAAGAGTGGAGGGAGTGAAGGGAGGGCAGGAGAAGGGGTAAAAAATAAGAACCAAGATACCTCATGTAAAGATACAAGATCCCAATGATGAATGTAACTGTATTGTATACCTAAAATGTACCAATAAACTTAATGGAAAAAGAAGTAGTAAGTAGAGGAGTTATTATTTGAATCTACGGTGTTCTGACTGTATCCTTACAACAGCTGTATTTTTGCTCAAATTGGCAAAGTGAGGAAGAAAAAGCCCTTCAATATATATGTTTCAAATCCTAAAAAGCAATTTATTCAAATCACTTTTCTATGTAAAGAAAAAGAAATATTTGGAACTAAATCTACTATACTAATGTAAGTTAATTTATAAGAGTTACTGCATTTATTAAACTCGTGGTACACAATGTTAGACTGTCAGTGGGATTGTATATGTGTACTAGGAGCAGATTTTTAGAAAAAAGCATTTTAAATTCTGTAATTCAGTTAACTATGACATTACATTTTAATCCACATTGTCAGACAGTAGTAGTGTAGTATGTAATATAAAACATTCTATTCTTAATGGCAATAGATGTCATACATAGCTTATAGTCAGACTTTTATTTGTGTATTTACTCGTATCTAATACTTGAGAGAAGAAATTCTTTTAAGATCAGGTTTTACAGATCTGTGTTCTGACGTTGGTTTTCCTTTCTAGTGTAATAAATTTTCAAAGACAAAGCAGTTGGACCATTGCTGAGTGATTTACACTGTCAGATTTTATAAATACGTGGTTGACTTTCAACCTTTTAACTGTACCACTCGCCACTCTTTGGAATATAAATTGATTTTTTTTGCTAAAAGATATTTGATGTCCTTTCATTGTTGTTGTAGATTTCTCTCTCTCTCTGTTCCAAATGATATTGAAACAGGTACTGCAATTCAGTAGAATATTGGGTATGTCATTAGGTGTTAGATTTCAGAATGTAGATAATGAATTTTATGCTATATAATCAATTCTTGATTATCTTACATAATGGAAAGATCATTTCTGTGGAGAATAGAAATTTTTTCACCATAATTTAGTTATC